TATCATATAAAAATCATTAATTCGAGCCAGAATAAATGGTAAAGTCTTACCTCAAACGAAGACGACTCCTTGGGTGATTCCATGTAAGTCAGCACAAAACTCCTTGACTACGGGTACTACAACTGCAGCGATAGTGTAGCACAGAACTTCCCAAGGCCTTTGTACAATCGTTTTCTCGATCTGTGAACTTGGATGACTCAATCCATGGTTGACAAAGCCTCTCTCCTTGATAAGTCTCTTCTTCGTTATTACTTTGTCGTATAATTTCTGCGCGTTAAAACTGATAAACTTTCTTCTATTGAAAACTTCATACCTTGAAGTATTTCTGGAATTGGAAGCCATGGAATTTGAAATTAGGAAGTTTAATGTCCAAGGCAGTTTTTAGGCCTTTAAAAACACCTCTCGGCGGTTATTGAGGAGCGAGATCCCGCCAAAATTTGCCAAAACTGTTCAGCACGTGGAAAACGAGCACGTGGAAACCGGCTCGGGACGCCGTCGGCGCTCCCGATGGCGCTGTCGGTGCCATGATCCTTTAGGTGAGTGTTGTCGGTGCAAGAGGCCAACTTCGCATCTACAACTTTTTTTTGTTCAATTTAATTCCAAATTTTCCTCCAATACCAATATTTGTCTTAATTTATGATATACATAATTGTATAGGACTCAAAAATACTATTATTTAAGATATAAATACACTTATTAAACAAAACAGTAATATATAGATAGATAGATTTATATATGGGTTGTCTTCCACAAAGCGTTTGGTTTAACGTGTCAGCCCGACATTCTATTTGTTTAGTTGGGTTGACTTAACATTAAATCTTCTTTAATTTATGGTATGTGTCCTTCATAATAATGTTTTAATCAATGCCCATTAACTTTAAATATCTTTCCAGTTTTAGGATTCTTAATAACAACAGTTCCATAATAGGAATCTTTTTATCTTCCTCCATATCTAAACATTTAAAAATTGATAGAGGCATAAGATTGATGCTCACTCCTAAATCACATAAGGCTTTTCCATTAAATTTTTCACCAATTGCACAAGGTATAGTAAAACTACCAGGATCTTTTAATTTTTCAGGATGTTTTTCTGAATAATAGCGCTATACTCTTCACTAAGTGCAACAGTCTTATGATCTGCAAAATTTCTTTTCTTGTTTAATATATCTTTCATAAATTTCACATAACTTGGCATTTGTTCCAAAGCCTCAATGAAAGGAATGTTTATCGTTAACTTTTAAGGATTTCCAAAAATTTTGTAAATTGTTTGTCTTTGTTCTTCTGCTTTAGTCATTGAGGAAACGAAGGTAATGGTTTTTCTAAAGGAACTTGTGTTTGTTCATTTTTCATCTCTTCCTTCTCCTCATCAACTTCAGTTTCTCTTTGGATTCTTGTTTCAATTTCTTTTCTACTTTGTAACTGAATTACTTTAATTTGTTCTTTATTTTGATCTTTAGGCTTAACTTCCACAGCACTCAGAAGATTTCCTGAAGATCTGTTACTAAGTGCAGTAGCAATATGTCCTAATTGATTTTCAATATTTCTAATAGCAGCCCCTTGATTTTGTATTTGATTTCTCATATTCAACAGTACCTCTTCCATCGTTAACTTCTTTTACTTAACTTGTGGGTTAATGTTAGAATTAAATTCAAGAGGATAATAATGATTATTTAAATTTCTTCCTTGATTATTTAAATTTCATGAGGGGTTCATTGAATTATTATAATTATTCCAACTAAAATTAGTGTAATTTTTCCATTCAAGGTTGAAATAATTAGAATAAGGATTGTTATTTTGATTATTAATAGCATTCAAATTTTCATAAGATGATTGAGTATCAATTATCTGTCCTAATGAATTTTCCTCTAATACTGATGGTATTTGAGAATAGTTCACTCCAATTTGATCAAACCTTTTCGATATAACAGCAATTTGAGATGCTAGAATAAATATTGCATCAGATTCATGAATACTAGCTACTCTCTTAGAATTTACTCTTTCAGAGAACCATTGAAAATTGTTAGTAGTCATTTCTTGTATTAAAGAGTATGCTTCATCAAAAGATTTTGACATTAAAGATCTACCTGCAGCAGCATCTATAATAGATCTAAGTGATCCTACTAATCCATTATAAAAAGCTTAAATTATTAACCAATCTAGTAAAACATGGTGTGGCCATTTTCTAAGGAGATCCTTAATTTTTTCCAAGGTTTTATATATTGATTCCCCTTCAAACTAACAAAAATATGTAATATCGTTTCTAAGTTTAGTGGTTTTCGAGAGTAATATCGTTTCTAAGTTTAGTGGTTTTCGAGGGTGGAAAATATTTAGCTAAAAATTTGTGATAGTTCTCCCCAAGTTCTAATAGATCCAGGTGTTAAAGAATTGAACCAAACTTTCGTTTTATCCCTTAATGAAAAAAGAAAAAAACTAAGTCTAACAACATCATTACTAACAACATCATTAGACACTCTGTCATAAATTTCAAGAAAACTAGCAAGATGTAAGTTAGGATCTTCAGTATGTGTTCCTCCAAACTGATTATTTTGTATCAAACTGATTATTGTTGTGTAAAATTTATAAAGTTGACTCCGCTTTACAACGATGCCAAAAACTCAATGTGATATTTTAGTAATAATAATATTAAGCTCTTAAGATTGGAATTCTACGCAAGTATACATATCGTTATCAAGTAATATAAGATTTTCTGTTTAAGTCCCAAATATCGATCCCACGGGGAATGTTTAAATGTGAAATGATAAATTAACTAGAAAATACACAAAAATTAAACGAAATTACTGTCACTAATTTCAAATGTGTAAGATGCTAACAAAACTAAATTATTAACTACTATCAAAATTTAAATGCAGAGTTTAAAACAGTAACTACTAAACTATGTTTATGTGATGAAGTTTTCTAATATAAAAAAATATTTTTCCCACTGCAATGAGCTTTTCGGTGAAATGAGATGAGATAAATGGTTTAAATTTGTATTGTGCCAAATATGAGCAATTTTAATTCTCTACCTTGATTCACTGTTACAGAAAATCATTGGTTAATCTTAGGTTTAGTCCCTAAATCCATAGTTAGGCTAAGAGAATACTGGCTCCCATTCCAAGACTCCCACTTCCCTTCCCCTAAAGGCTAACTCTCGCTTTAGTTTTTACACACTAAGATCAAATTAGGGATTTTTAGTCTGTTACCCTAGAAATCTTCAATTCTACACCCAACAAAATATATTTCCCCATTTATTTGCACTTAATTTCATGAACGAAACACGCATTCATGGACTTAAATGTGATTTTCACTCTGTTGTAGAACTCATACTCCATTTCACGGATCATGTGTTTCACAACATATTTCAACAATTCAATTGGCCAGATCGAAAAGTAAATTAAGAGCGGAGTTGAAAAAAAAACACAATCACAATTTATTTTAAATTTTAGCATTGGCACATCCAAATTATCTCTTCATTTCACCATATCTCAGAGTAGGAAGAAAGATAAAGGAATCTACTCAGACTTCATGAAAAAGATACAATAAAACACAAATTTAATATATAAAAGAAAGTTCATATAACAATAATAAACAAACAACACATATCTAAAACTATTTCTCAAAGCAAATCCTTTGTAGCCTTTTTTAGGAAATGTAGGAAGAATAAATCTCACTATTTTTCCTCTCCAACACTTCTTAGAGAAGAATTCACACTTAAAACTCATCACAAAAACTCAAAATTAAAAAACCAATAATTAACTAATTGTCTGGAATGGCGTGAAATATGTGTGTGAAGAGGAAAAACTGAAATAAGTAGAACTCGAGATGGTGCGAAGGGGGGGTTTCTGATCAAATTTCAGCCCTAAATAGAACCTAGGTCTTGGCTCTAAATAGAGCCTACGGTTGGTTCTTCAATAGATGCATCCAAAAACTATTCAAAAAGCGTCCAAATTTGTCGAATCTTCTAGAAACAGGGTCTGCACCGACACTGGCGTCGTCGGCGCCCATTCTGGCATCGTCGGCGCCTAAGGCCATTCAATTAATTCCGCCTTCTCTGTCAAACGGCGCCGTTGACGCCCAGTTTAGCACTGTCTGCGCTGAATATTTTTTTAAAATCTTCATTTTGACTTTAAATTTCATCTTTTTTGTTTTTACTGTCTGCGCTGAATATTTTTTTAAAATCTTCATTGACTTTAAATTTCATCTTTTTGGTTTCTATTTTGTTCCAAGTCCTCAAAATTAACAACATGCAATAAAACACAAAAAAAATCTTCCAGCAATATCACAAAAAATAAAAATAAAATATGGGTCCAAAAATCTATATATTTTTTTCGTATTACTCACTTCTCACCTTCACCTATAGCCCTTGATTCCTACAATGCTCTCTGCTCTCTCCTCCGATCCTTCTTTTAGTTCTCTCACCTTCACCTATAGCCCTTGATTCCTACAATGTTCTCTGCTCTCTCCTCCGATCCTTCTTTTAGTTCATGTTTTGTAGGCATACCACAGTCCAGACTCATTATGTAATAGATCTGCAAATGGAGTGCATTTGTCTTGTTGACCAAATCATCCAATAACTGATATTATTTTGGAAAAAGGACCAAATCATCCAATAACAACTGATGATTGCAAAGAATGATAAGACCAAAGAGAATACAATAGCAATTGTCTTTCTCATAATTCATGAGTAACAAATCAACCGATCAAACCACATTGGACCATAATTCAATCAAGGACACTCTCACTATACCATATACCCATGAAGGGCGGATTCTACCTTCAGCAATAAAAGAAATTTGAAGGTGATGAGGAAGTCTCGAGGGTTTCCACAGTGGCTGTTTTGTTTTGTTTTTTTTTTTTTAATGCGTTTTTATGCATTGTAGCAGCAAGGAGAAAATGATTCTAATCCCATGGAAAAGAAAGAAGAAAACAGAAACAAAATTATCTCATATTTGTATGTCTATAAACTTACTGATTCCTAAACCAGCAATTTAAATTGACAGAGTTCCAGATCATAAGCAGAGATGCTTTCAGGCATTCATTTGGCATGCATCAAAATATTTTTTTAATGAAACTTGAAGCTCTTCTAGTCTGCACTTATAATTCTTAATAAAAACAGCAAGCCTGTTGCAAGCGCTAAAGCAAACTGTTCCCTATTTTCTTCCAAAATAAGAATGAAGGGATGATTGTTTGTCCGCTGTTTGCAGCTTTTTCTTCACTGGAGTGGAGCAGCCATCGGGTAACTCAGTTTTATCTTCTAAATCATATCCCATCTCCTCAGGTTCTCGCTTTATACCAGCTCTCTTTTCTACTGATGGAAGGTCATTGGACTCGTCTCTCTCTTTAGTGACTTCCATGATAGCATGTTCCTCCTTCAAACAGTCCGGATTCTCATTTTTGGTGAAAACGTCAAAAGATTTTATAAACTCAGAGTCTGCCTTGAATTTGTTCATGTTGTAATCAGTCTTTTTTGAAAACAGCTTAGATATCTTATTTTGAACACTAAGCTTCAATGGTATCTGCACATCATGAATATAAATAAACCAATCAGCTTTTAATGCTGATAGCCAAGGCTTTGTTGTGTGTGGTACAGAGAAACATTAGCATATTACTGTGGCCAACAAAATTGCAACGTTAATGTCAAACATAATAAAGAGGTAATAATATTTATGTCCATAGAAATAGTTCAACATAAATGCATAGTAGGCAGTGATAAAGAGCAATAAGTTGCATTTAGAAAAATCTAAGAGACTTTTCACAGGATTTCTTCTGTAATTGCAAAATCATAATACTAAAAGGTATGGATTAACTTATGCTGTCTTTACCAAGCATTACTCTTCGTTTTTGCAAAACATGCATCTTGCATGTATTTCAACTACGTCAACAAAAATAATCCAACATGAAGAGAGACTCACAATACCCTATCTGACACGCAACAACTTCATGCCACTAATTCTATATCAGTAGTGCAAATTTAAATATCAATGCTTTATACAGAGTATTTCATGACAGCAGGGTTAGTGTTTTTTGTAAATACAGCTATACTAGGAGATATCATTTGGGACAACAGACACAAATTTAAAAACCGGCACATTAATATTTACTTTTAAGAAAAAAAAAATTGGGTTATTTAAGCCCCCTAATGAAGTGAAAATTTTCCTTTATCCCAAATTCTCAGCATTCTCTTTGTTTGTACGTTCCTAAACTCGGTAATTTTGTTCATGTCACACCCCAATTCAAAAGGCGGTACACCCTGACAATGTAAGGCGTGATGAAAATAATTGAATCTATCACAAATTTTTCTTTTCTGGCTCAAATGTTAGGCTAGCGGGGCGCAAATATTTCTGCTTTTTGGATGGATATATCGGTTATCACCAAATTTCTATAGCTCTTGAGAATAAAAAAAAATCCACATTCACGAGTCCTCACGGGCCTTTTACTTTTAGACGAATGTCCTTTAGATTATACAATGCACCTGTAACTTTTCAAAAGTGCATGATATCCATTTTCTGCGACTTAATAGAGAAAGGAATTGAAATTTTTATGGATGATTTTTCAATGTTTGGAATTGATAGAACTGCATATAAAATTTTATAAACTAGATTTTATTGACTTACAATATTTATATATGTTAATACTTATGAAAAAACATGTGATCGATGTCTGCGGATAGGCAATATTTCTATAACAAATAAAATGTCTCTCAATTTTACTTCAGAGGTTGAAATTTTTTATGTTTGAGGTTTAAATTTTATGGGACCATTTATACCATCTTTCAGAAATATATACATTTTAGTTGCAGTGATCTATATTTCAAGGTGGAGAGCCATTTCAAGAATAGGAATATTGAAACAGTAGTTAGAAAATACGGTACTAAACATAAGTTTGTCACTGCTTAACATCCTCAGACCAGTTGTCCAACAGAACGTTTGGATAATAGATTGGTCTAATAGATTCGATGAGACATTATGGGCTTATAGGACGACAAATAAAACTCATATAGGAATGACCCCATATAAACTAATATTTGGGAAGGTTTGTCACTTACCAGTAAAACTGGAGCTTAAAGCCTATTGCGCTCTTAAAAAATTTAATTATAATATGAAAGATGTGAAAAACGGCAATTACAATTAAATGAGCTTGAGTAGATCAGAAATGAATCTTACGAAAATGCGAAGATTTATAAAAAAATATGAAATTGACATGATAATAAGATTTTAAGAAAGGATATAGAACCTAGATAAAAAGTTTTACTGTACAATTCTAGAGTGAAATAATTTCATGGGGAACTGAAGTCTAAATGGATGGGGTCATTCATTATGGTGAAAGTCTATCCTTATGGTGTTGTGGATATCAAGTATCCAAAAAATGATAGAATTTTCAATGTAAATGGACATATACTGAAACCTTACTTTGATGGAAGTAACTTATAGTTAATGAAATCCTAATGTTCCTAATGTTGTTCAGCCCGAGTAAGTAGTGGATATGTCAGGCTGACGACGCTAAACCAAACGCTTTGTGAAAGACAACCCATAGTTATTAGAGTGGCTTAAGTTTAGTTTGTGTATTGCTTTATTGTATTTTGTGTTTAAGAGTCGCACATGTGATGTTACTACTTAAAACGCTATATTTCATGACCTAAGATAGATTAGGACATTTATTTGGACCTAAGGCGAAACGGTGTTCAAGTGTGCACAGGCGTCTAGGCACTGAGATCTGGCGTCTAGGCGTCGGCAGACAAAGAACATGGCGCCTAGGCTCCCAAATCTGGTGCCTAAGCACAACAGTTACGGAACCGTCAAATGCTGCGGTTTTTCAATTTTTCTAACGGTTTTCTCTATTAAAAACCTCCAAAACCTTCATTTCATTTTGTTCTTCATCAATTAAAGGGTTTTCGGAGTGAAGGAAATCTTGAGATTTCATCCCATTTCAAGATAAGTCTTGGGATTTCATGGATTTCAATGCTTTGACGAGTTCAACTCGTGGAGATTTTTCTTAGAAGAAGTTTATAAGCAAGGATGCGCAAAGGCTTCGTGATAGAACTCTGGTGAAGAAGAAATTGATTAGAGAAAGAGGATTTATCATGCCTTGAAGGCAAGTAGAAGAAATCATTGCGTAGAAGCGATGGGAAGTGTTTGGCTACATCAGTGTTGATGTTGTTATCTCTGTCGTGAATGAATTGTATTCAAATCTTCATGGATTAAATCATGGATTGGTCTATGTTTGAAGTAAGTTAGTATCTTTTACTCCTTCAAGGATCAACGAGTTGTTCTTGGTGGATGACGTACTAATTTGTGAATTTGCTAACTTCACTCCGACTAGAAACAATTTGACTAAGATCTTCAAATTCTGAAGGAAAACAAAGAACGTTTGAAATTGAGAAGTGATTCCAAGGTTAATTTCCCTACTGCAAAATTAAATTTATCATCTAAGCCTTGCACTTTTTCATTTATGCCAAATTGCTTCCTACCACGAACATAAAAGAAGTAACGAAAGAAAGTGCAATCATCAATTACTGTATTCAGGTTGAAAGACTAATTGATGTGAGGGCACTTATTTATAGATCTATCCTTAGAGTTGCACTAGATGGATCTATGACTGAGTTTGGACACCCAGTTGTTATTTGCTTAATTTGTAGTTAAGCCCAGGTCCCTTATGAAAGTTGGTAAAAGGTTGAAAGATGGGAAAAGGTACTTCTCCTCTAGAAGCCCATGGACTAGTCTATCTTGATGTGTGACATCGATCTTTTTTGCGGCACATGGAGGACGTTACTATATGGATCAGTTTTCTCGGCCTTCAACGTCATCATGACCTCGACGTGCAGATTGTTTGGCTAGTATCTTGGATCTGAGGACTTCCCAAACTATCCCTTGTACATGCATTAGTCGCTTGGTGATATTGAAGAAGTGGATACTAAGGGTGATGATAATATGCAGTAGATTTTTTGTAGCAACTTTGATATGTGCTTGTAAGTTGTTCGTTTCGTAAGTATTAGCTCTAATGTGTGCTTGTAGGCTTTCTAATATTTTGAGTGTTTGTGCGCTTAGTAGTTTGTGAGTGAATTCAAAAGTTATGTTTTAAAAGTTGTGAATGACTTAAAATGTGTGTTTGTATGGGGATTGAATTTATATTTGAATATAAGTGATTGTTGGTGTTTGTGAACATTAGATGTTGGAAGATGTTCAAAATAGTTGAATTTGACTTGCTAGGGTTCGTAGTGCCTTCATGTGCAGTACTCATTAAATTTTAATAAGAAAATAAAAAAACAAAAATATGGGCACTGGCGCTTAGCCGTCAAAACTTAGCGCCTAAGAGCCAATTCAATTGAACCGACAAATCAAGCTTAAAAACCTGATTTTCGCTCAAACCATCTTCTTCCTCCTGGTATTCACGAGATAGAGTGTGGAATTTTCCTAGGGCTTCTCAAATCTTGGTTTTTTAGGGTGGTTTCTTGGTTTGGGAACTTTGGATTTGATCTCCTCAAGATAAGAGTTTCACTTTAATGCAAAAATTTTTTATTTTAACCATGGATTCTTCTCACACTGCTCAATTGCAGAAATTTTGGTTTTTTGGAAAAAAAATGAAAGATGAATCCATGTTGAAAAGATTCTTACCTTAGGAAAATGTTGTTGGGAGCTTAAGAACTTATTTGGAATTTGGAAACTAAATTACTATGTTGAGTAGTTAAATTTACACTTGAAACAACCTGAAAATCTTCACATTCTCAACAATTTCTTTTTCTCATAAAAAAATAATCAATTTGTGTTATATTTGATCTATTTCTAAGAGAAATAATATGTTCATCTCTTTTTTAAATAAAATATTAGCAATACAAAAGCATAAGCTAAAACAAAATCTAATATAGTTCTATCTACTTCATTAATATCTAAAAATATGTTAATTGGGCATCATTAGGTATTAAATTCTACTAGTCACACTGCGTATCATAGGGTTCAAAACCCAAACAAAATGTTACATATTGAGAACTATTTTGCCTCCATGAGAACTCACCTTTGTCCCCCTATTTATGCAGCTCGTCATAACATATCAACCTATCTGATATAATATCATCCTTTTTAAGTTTATTCATTATTGAATATTCTAATTCATCTATCATTCATCATAAACATATGAATCAATTCAATGCATCAATATGTAAATCAAAAGTTGTAAATAATGTATCTTTTATAATACATATTTTTATAAAAGACTAAAATACTCGAAATAGTTCAAATAAGTTCTTGCATACTTTAAAATGGATACAAACTCGTACAATCATGTACTTTGCAATATGAGAATTTTCTAATGCATAGTTCAAAGTGATTATCTCAAGACCTTGTTCTTCTGTAAGACAATCTATACTATACAAATTACTAATATATAAAATCTTTTAACTTACAACTCAATTCTTAACCAAAAGTAACCTCAAAAGTGTAATTTATTTTAAAAAAACTTCTCATACAAGCATCAAAGCACGGTGCTTCGATTTAAACTCAATACATCAAAGCATTTTCCTCAAATACCCTAACTTCCTTTCATTATTCTCTTCTTCTCCTTTAGCCTCTAGCTTCCAGCGCTCACCCTATTCTAATTGAGAACTGTCACGTAACTCCGTCCCTAATTCTTAAAATCTTTAATGCTACAGCATATATTATGTTCAACATGCCTCTGATAATTTTTTCTTCTAAATATATGCACTTCAATAAAATGCTTCCAGCCATATGAAAAAGAAAAATTATTTCATTAAGAAATTTTTTTCCATGAAATTTCTTGTTTATCATATGCCTTCACGTAGAAAAGAATGTCATGTATATATCTCATAAAATCAAATTCAAACACCAATGTTCCATCAAAGTGTGCACATGTCACTATCACTAATTATATCAACCATGCATGCAACTATAAAATGCAAGCATTGATTAGTATACCTCTTTGATGCATTCAGGACCTTCAAAAGAAGGATTTCCCATTGCAGAAGTAACAGGATACCATACCTAGAAACGAGTTCACAAACAAAAAAATTAGGCAAGTACATGATAATTATCTTTATAAAAGGAAAACAAATATGTGCATGGTCCAAATATGCAAGAAAAATGACAAGAATTTTACAATCTCAGGATTTATATATCCATCTTACCAGATCACAATATGCGTAAGGAGAAAGTACTGCTTCAAGTTTGAGAGGGGAATTACTTGACCAGATATTCATGGTGTCCTTACTTCCAATTATCACAGGCATTCTATCTGTAATTAATCAAGAGTATAAGAACTTAAAAAATTTAATTAGATAAATAAAAATGCATGTAAATTGCTTACAACCAAAAAATAATTCAAACAGCAGACACTGTAGGCCATATCTAAATATAAACCATGATAGCACCCTAAAAATTTTAAGACAGCTGTAACAAGAAAATAGGAATCAGCATGAAGCCCGTCATAAGATCAGGCTATGTAGATTTGGAATCATTTATCAATATATACACCAAGAATAAAAAAAGGTTTATTTAGTTAGGGCTTGTCAATCTTAACCAAATATTAAAAACAATATATCTTCCATAAATCCATTCTAATTGAGTGAAAAAAAAAAGGCTGAATAATAAATGCAGTGTCATATAAGTTAAGTACAAGACATCCCGCCGCAATAAAATCTACTTAATATATACCCATTTCTCAAACTAGATTGTACCAACACTTTTAGAGCATTGAAAATAGCCAAAATAAAGCACTGAGATTGTACAAATTGTTGCTCAATAACGGAATGACAAATCTACAGATGCATATGGCGAAAAATAAATTAAAGATGGAAGGATGACAAAAAGTTTCACAGCTGAGAAAAATAACAGATGGAAAAATAGAATAAAATAACTATAGAATATTAAATATAAATCAATTAATTTTATTAAAAATTAATATGTTTATTATAATTATTAGTAATCTAATTAAAATTTATATATAAAGGATATCAAATCGAGTCAGCAGGCAGCTCTGCTAAGGTTTCGCCAGAAAGCGATTCCCCGCGTTGATTCTTCGGCTTCACTCCACCGATTTCGTCGTGCCCGACGACGAATAGATTCGCGCCAATCAGTTTTGTAGTACTCGACAACGAAGGGTTTCTTTCCATTGGCTTTCAGACGCATTCACGCAGTCCTCTCCTCTTCCAAACGCATTCACGCCATCGATTTGTCCTGCCCGACATCGAAGGGCTTCTGCCAAGCCTCTCTCGCACGGTCAAAAATCTACCTGTCAAGCCTTTCTCGCAGCATTGGCCGCTCCTAACTCAAGTCGTATCGTGTCTGGTGGAGATGGACTCAACGATTCGCTCTTATGCCACTACATTTGCCGGCAACAATCCTACTCGTGCCCCTAAATCAGGTTTAGAGTCTGAATTTGGTATTAGTAAGTCCTGCATTGTTCCACAATCCTTCCACGAGGCTCTTGAAGGTGGTTGTGATCACACTTTCATTAAAAAACTATAAAAAAAATAGAAAATCTATTCTTTTTCTCTCTGAGTTTGAAACTAGTACTCTTGTGTCTTCTTGACGTTTTGCACTAGTGGGGAAATTCCTTTATGGTCACCCTAAACTTGAAATCATTTAAAAAGAATTTGATGCTATGAAGTTATCAGGTAGTTTGAATATTGATTTACTAGACGGCTGATATATACTTATTCATTTATCTCACGATGTGGATAACAATCGTATCTTTTTCTCGAAAGGTAATCAAGATTGACAACCGTTTTATGAAAATCCTGAAGTGGACTGTCTGTTTTAATCCAAAAGCGGGGTTTTCTATCATTTTTGTTTGGATAAAGTTTCTAGGGTTAAAAATACATATGTTCAACTTTGAAATTCTCTATTCCATAGCAACTGCTTACGGTAAGATTCTCAAAATTGATAGTCATACGCTTGTTGTCACCAGACCCTCCGTGGCTTGTGTGCTATTTGAGAGAGATATCACCCAACCAGCTCCAGATAAGGTATGGATTGGATCCACTCACAATGAGTATTAGCAAAATGTTGAAATAGAACCACACCCTCCATATTGCTCATTGTAATATGTTTGGTCACAGTTCTATTATTTTTTATTGTTTGCATCCTCATTTAAGATTAAATATTGCTAAAAATAAGCAACATGTTCAAAATCTATTCATAATGAATTGGGAGTGAGCGTTTTCCTACCTACCATCCCTGCTGAGGAGGTGCAACATGACCCTCTTTCCGCATATACCTCTGCTCTTCTGACTGATGTTGTTCCTGATGGGAAATCTTCTGATGACCCTCCTATTCAAACCTTCGTCGTCTCAGATGAAGAATATCATACCCAATCTGTTCTACCTCTGGATGTTCCTGTTTTTGAACACTCTTCCAGCTGTTGGATTGGAGCATGGTACTCTGGAGTCTCATGAAACATCTCACCATACTACTAGTAGTGATCCAAACGTGTCTATATCACTCATTATTATTGAAGAAAACTCAATTATATGTCAAGACACATGAGAGTACTCCTTTAATCCAATAAAAGACCAATTGTTACAGCAAGTAGATGCTTCCAATGTTCAACAACCTACACATGTCCGACGCACTTTAGATCAATCCACTGATCAGATGAGTTAGTCTTCGGATGAGAAATGTCAGGTCTATTCCAGGAGGAAGAAGAAGAATGGAGGCTGACTCGAGCTTAGGACTTATTGGACGATACATTGGTTACCACTAGCAATGGCATTCATCTTACCAATTTGTTAGTTGGCTCCTCTCCTAGAACTAGAGGCAAAAGCAGCACAAAATTGGGTCGCTCTCTAACTACCTGATACTAAGTTATTTGGCAATTTTGATTTTTGGGCTCTCATATATTTTTCTGTTTTTTCTTTTTTTTTTTCTGGAACCATTTGCATGTGGAATTTACCGTATGGGTAGGGTGTAATGCTTGGGTCCTCTCATACAATCTATTTGTATCTTTCTTCCATTTTAATATATTAGTCATTGGCTTTCTCATATATATATATATATATATATATATAAGGATGGTTTCATCGATCTCGTTCTCGCACTGCTAGGATTCGCCTCTAGTTTTCCTACTCCACTGTCTTCTCCCATCGATCAAGCGCCGCTCGTCTTTCATCTTTTACTCGCCTGTTTCGCCGTCGTCACCTTGCGTCACAGCGGTTCGTATTTCGACGTCCCGAGAAGGACTGCGTCTTCAACGACTCGTATTTCGTCGTCCCGAGAAGCCGTCGAGCTCGTGGACGTCGCCGCCTCTCGCAGTCCTTGGACTTTTGAAGGACGTCTGGGCGGGGCTCGTCCTTTCCACGGACTCGAAGTAGAGATTTCGCATTTCGCTTTTACACCCTCTGCTTGACTTGGACAGGGTTACCGTTGATCCCAACATTTGCTCTTTTGTCCACTGTAACTCTGTTGTCCTATCGCCACGCCTCCCTCTTTTGGTGTTGGCTTCGGACTGATCGTATGTTGTTGCTCCTGCGGGTGTCCACGCCTCAGGTACTCCTAAATCGTGTTTCTTACTTCCTTCGTTTGAGTTAGCAGAGGACATTAAGAAACCTATTATGAAGAATAGAAAGTTAGTAATCTTCTAATTATGGAAGTTGAATGTAATCAGCTTGTTTCATTTGTCGGCTGAATTTGGTCGAGAAATTTCTTTATGATCATCCTAAAATGGAGCTTATTCAGAAAAAATTTGAGTTTATACACATAGTTAGGGAGTAAAAAATTGGACTTTTAGATGAAAGACACATCCTTATTCAACTTAATAATGAATAGGATTACACAAGCTTATTTGCTAAAAGATTAATCTGCATTTATAGCAAAGCTACGAAGATTTTGAAATGGTCGGTAGATTTTGAACCACAAAGGGAACCATCAATCATTCCGGTCTGGATTCGCCTCTCAGGCCAGAAATTTTATTATTTTACTCAAAAAGTGTTGTGTTGTATTGTCCAGCATATGATAAGACACAAAACGGACATTCCTGCTTTTAATCTTTCTCTTCCCTCTGAAGTCAGGATACTTGTTGAAAAGAACATCACTTCATTCGCTTCTAAGAAAATTTGGTTAGACATACAACATCATGGGTATTGGCAAAAGGTTGTGATTGAGCATTTACTTTCGTATTACTCGCATTGTCGTATGTTCAAACACTCCCGTTCTCAATGTCACCATCTGCAACTCCATCTCAGTCATAAAAAACAAAGTGCTCAGCCAGAGGCAGTGATACCCCATCCTCTTGATCTGCTCAAAGTTATTGATATTATTAATCATAAGAAGAATACTCCTAAAGATGTCATTATCCTCGCAGTTATTATGTCAAACATTCAGCCTCCACACAGTCATGGCGTTGGTTCTCTGTCTATGAAACCTCCTTTCGTAGGGGCGGGGGGGACATTTCAGACCATACCTGCTCTAAAAGCTATCGTTGATGTAACGAGTGGCAATATTTCTACCGAGTTTCTACCGCCTCATCAGGACGAGCAAGTTGTTACTGTTACTCGGGCACATGGGGTTCATGATGTACAGCAGCCTACACCTTTCTGGTCACCTTTGGATCAATCCACTGATCAGATTAGTCAATTCTTGGATGAGGAATGTCGGGATTATACATCTAGGAAGAAGAAGAAGAATTGAGGCCTACTATCAAACTTGATGGATGGTACATTAGTTGTTTCAGGTAATGACAGTAAATTAACAATTTGTTAGTTGGCTCCTGTTCTAGAGCCACTTTCCCTTTTTTTTATCAAGTTTTTTAATGAAAGTGTGATCACCACCACGTTCAAGAGCCTCGTGGAAAGATTGTGGAACAATGCAGGACTTACCGATACCAAAGGCACGAGTAGCATTAGGAATGTCGTCGGTAAACGCAGTGGCATAAGAACAGAGCATCGAAGCCATCTCCACCAGGCAAGATGACCACGATCAGTGAGGCGAATGCGAGCAGACAGAGGCGAATGAAATTGCGAGACGAAACCGTTGTGGTCGGGCAGGAGACTCGAATGCGAGCAGACAAGCACGTTATCGATTAGGAGACGACGTGCGAGCAAACAGACGTCGTCGTCGTCTCCGGGTAAAGCGAGCAGACAGAAGTCATCGGGCTGGAGACTGCGAGCATACGAGGGAGCGCCGTCAATTGGCAGGGAGACGTGTGAGTAACCCGAACGAAACCGACGATGCAAAATCGTCATCATGGGAGATGACGAAAAAATGGAGTGAAGCCAATAGTTTCAACGCCGGGTATCT